GGAGGAGGAGAGCCAGAAGACAATCTCTCCCCAGTCCCCCCGCCTCTCAGAGGCAGGAGGCGGAGTAGGGAACCCTTCCCCCTGCCCCCTGCCCCCTGCCCCCAGCCCAGCACTGCATGGAGGGGGGAACCCCTATGGCAGGGAGGGGGCTTTTACCTCGCCCTCAACCCACTGAGCCGCTCTGAGAAGCAGGAGGCAGAGGAGGTGAATGCATCCCCCGGCCTGCCACCACACCCCACCCCCAGTGCCAGACTGGAGCATGCTTCTCTCCTCTCCTCCCCCACTCTTCCCCACAGAGGCCAGTGGCTGTAGAGCGGGCAGGATTGGGGCAATCCCAGCCCAGCCTGCCAGGCTGTGAGGGGGTGCTAAAAAGCCCCTGCCATAGGGGCTTTCCCAACCCCCATGCTATGCAGACCTGAGCTAGGGCAGCCTGAGGGTCTGTTCCCCTGCCCCTCATTCCACCAGGCTGAGAGGCACAAGCACAAAATGGGCTGGGGAGCAGAGGCTTTACTGCTTCAGCTCTGTGACAGCTGGGGGCAGGGCCAGCCCTGCTCTGCTGGAACAGACAGCACAGCCCAGGGCTGCAAAGTATGCTGGGATTCTGGGGGACTGTAAGTTAACTTGAGTTGGGAGGGGATCTGGGACAGAAGTTCCATAAATTGGTTTAACCTAAATCAGTTAAGTCTGATACTATATCCATCCAGGTTTATCTTAAACCAACTTTGGCCTGTTTGAAATTGGTTTATGTGCTGTTTTGTTACAAGTTTAAACCGGTTTCTGATCACTTATGCCAGTTTATGGGTAACTTCTGTCCCTAGCCTATGTAGGGTACAGGCAATCTGGGCCCTCCCACTGCACAAGTGCTCTGGACCACCCACACTATGCAGGTTGTGGGCCCCTAGGATTTCTCCTCTAAGCATGCTCCCCCAGCATCATGGGCTACACTGCCTCCACCCCAGAAGAAGCAGAAGCTGAAGGAGCCCAGAGATCCCAGCCACAGAAGAAGCAGGAGCAATGCTAAGAATGGCAACTAAGCGGGAACCCACTGCCTGCAGGTGGCATGCAGACCAAGAGCTGCTAGTTGGATAGCCCTGATCTACATGTTTGTTTTCTTCGGTGTTTAGATCCCAAAGTGAAAGGTACCTTAGAAAATCAATTTAGAAAATGAAGTATATTCCTAGAATCACGACTTCAGTGCTATTTAAATGGAGCATAAGGATAGACATCATGTTTTATAAATTATGGAAAACAAGGAATGAATGAAGGGCATCATGAAATAAAGACCTGGGTAAAATTGCCATTTTTTTAATTATTACCAATTGTTTGGTTTTTTCTAGGTGTACATTCAGAGCACAGACTACGATCGCACTCTCATGAGTGCTCAGACATATCTTGCTGGCCTCTTTCCACCGACAGGCAACCAAATCTGGAATCCCCGGATCCTTTGGCAACCCATCCCGGTTCACACCAGGCCACGGTCAGCAGAAAAGGTGAACACTGCTTCAGGACTTCCCACCTCTTGTTAGTAGAGCTGTATTTACTCTAGAAATGCAAAAACATGAAATAAAAGGTATTTTCTCATTCCCACTAATCCACTCCAACAGAAAATAGTTCTCCAAAGCTGTTAAACTACAGAAGTGTCTTGCTCTTGTATCCTATATCAGCTGTGTAAGAGTCCTCTTTCCACAGTAGCTTGTGAACGCACAATCTGTATTTCTCATCACCATCTTCAAGCAAAACTCTTACGTCATCTTGTCAAGAATGACTTTGGGCACTGTGATTGGGCTACCTTCCCCCAAACTCTACTTCTTTCTTTGCTAGTCAGGAATTAGTCAGCCAAACAGACCACTAAAGTGTTTTCAACTTTAAATGTCTCTATTACTATTTTTTTTATTGCAGCAGCACTAAAAAATTCTAATCACAGCATAGGTCTTTATTGCTCTAAGTAACATAAAAAATGACAAAAATGAGTGTCTGCCCTGAGGAGCTTCCTGTATAAGTGAATCTATTTCAGAAGTGACAGAACTGGTAGAACCTTTTACATAAACAACTCTTTTGGACAGACTCAGCCAAATATCTGCCCGAAGGTGGCTGTAATTCTGTGTAAACCAAAGATTTAACAAAGCCAGGGTGTGTGATGGACAGACAGGTTTCCTTTCCTGCCCTTTAATGTACTCTGTGGAAGTCTTCACAGTGAACAGGCCTCTTTTATAAGGCTCCACCACCCTCCTGCTCCAGAGATGGTCATGAACATTAAACCATTCCAAAGCCACATGTGAAAAAAGGGGGAAGGGTTTGCAAGGAAACTGGCTCAGAAACAATATGGCTCAGCTTGAACCTTTGTTTTTCCCTTAATTTAACCTTGTTTTCCTCTAAATGTGGGGTAGGAAAGTAAGCTTGAAGTCAGGAAATGCTTTGATAGATTCTGATAAGCATCAGAGCCATCAGATATTCATCCAAGCCAAGCCTCAAAACATTCTGAGTCAGCAATATAAAAGGAATCATAACAGACTGTTGTGAACTATGGGAAAAGGGACAGCCAATTTGCCTGTGAACTCAACTTGCCTGTCACTTCTGCAACTGTCCCAGATTGGGAGCAATGATACTTAGTTACAGTGCACCCCTGAACCAGCCTGAGGTTTCTGCTGAAAATGCCAGCCACCTATAAGAGCCAAAAACTGTGTCCTCCTAAAGGCTTTCCAGGGCCAGAAGACATGGCAAACTGAGAAATCAAAAACTATGAGCATGATGAAAAAAACCTTGTCACAATTTATGTTTTCAACCTACTGAGATCAATCAAAAAATGACAGGCAATAGCACTCAGTGCTACTTAATAAATAGGCCAAAAGGAGTGGCTTAATAACATGCAAAGGCTGATAATTAAGTCTTACAGTAGAAGCAGCATTTGTTATTGTGTAATTAAACAACATTCCAAAGCCTTGTATTTCTGCCTTTGGCCTCCACAGCGTACTGCTCTCATAGAAGAAGAACACGTACTCTGAAGGGTGTTGCAATATTTCCGGTTAAAAAAATGCTGTTAAATATGCTATTAGCTAACAACTGCTACAGTTTCTGCACTCGTTAAAGAAGGCCAGGCAAGACTTACTAGCTATTTAAGTTTCACTGAAGCATCAAAGGAGGAGTTAAGTGATGAGGGTCCTCTGTACAGAGTGCATTTCACTCCTAGTATATTAGGTAGTAATGATGCTGCTATGCAGCCTGTCACAATTCATTTGCCCTTTTTAATTCAAGGGATCTAGCCATTTCAGAATACTCCTACAGTGTCATGGCACTGTGGTTCTATCAAAAAAAAGTCTATTTTTATACCTGAATTGTGGAACAAATTTTCAGCAGTCCTCCACTGTATCAATGATGCATTTGATATGGAAATAAGAAGTGGGGAAAGGTGACTTCAAACCATCTTTATTTTCTTGATCCTGAGGATTAGTATAACCTCAAGCCTGCTTGATAGGGTCATTCTGGCAGCCAAGTATCTGCTATAACAGGGGTGTCAAACTCACCCTGGGCTAGATTTGGATCCCAGGGGTTCCTCCAGGAGCACAGCTGCAGGCCGAGATGCAGGTCCCAGGGGATGTAGGGAGCAGCAGTGGTGGCAGGAGTCCAGGCGCAGTGGTGGGGATCTGGCAGCCCAGGTCAAGCAGCAGACCAGGTTAAGGGACTGCAGCAAAGCAATTAAGAGCTATACTTGCACAGCACTCATACCCTCACCACAAATGGCTATATCCATCAGGACCCAAAGGTCCCAAATTCTGTGACAGGCCTTACCCCCTAGCTCCACCCCCGACTTCTGGTAGCTCAGCAGGCTAGATAGAAGGGATCCATCAGCTAGATCTAGCCCACAGGCTATGCATTTGACACCCCTGAGCCAGAGTACCAGCATCCCAGCAGAATCATTCTCTGCCCAGTATCTAGGCAATTTGTGCCAACAGATTGGGACAAAATAGCCATAACTGACTCTGATGTACAATGATTAAGTTCTGAGTGATAGATGCACTCAAAAATCTGATTTAGGTTAGATAGCTGCAGTGTGTTTACATTTACTATAAGTTTACTCTTTTATTCCAGATGCTGCATTTTCCTATTCCTAACTGTCCACGTTATGATGAACTACAGAATGAAACCCAAGCATCTAGTGAACTTCAAAACAGGATGCAACCCTACCTGGTAAGAATTTAAACTTAAGGAATCCTAGCATTGGATCATATCTCTGTACTGACATGCCTGTTAAAGGCTCCTGCAGAGAAATAGCCTCTTGTTAAAAGTAAAGTTACAAAATAGGCCAGTTTTACTGTAAAATTATTCCTGATACCTCTGAAAGCAAAACATTTAATAAAATATACTTACCTTTTTTTTAGATCATAATTTGGTACCCACTGTCTCAGGCTATTTAAAATAATAAAAAAGAGTTGGAACAGACCTCAGGTCATCTAACTTAAAACCCTGCTCAAAGCAAAAGCATCCCCATTTGCCTAACCTGTACTTGAAGCTTCCAATGGCCGAGATTCCACAGCCTCCATAGGTAATCTGTTTCGATGCTTCAGCACCTTCAGAGTAAGGAAGTTCTTCCTAATATCCAACCTAAAACTCCCTTATTGCAATTTAAACCCATTACTTTCTATACTGTCCCCTGTGAACACAGAAAACAGTTGATCACCATCCATCTTCTCTTCACCAGCCTAAACAACCCATTTGCCCAACCTTTTCTCAGAGGTCTAGAAAGCATGCCATATAATCATGTTTGTCAATCTCCTCTGGACTCTTTCTAATTTGCCCACATCCCTCTCAAAGTGTGACATCCCTTTTGAAGTGTGAAGCCCAAAAGTGGAGTAGGTCTCACTTCAGGTGAGACTTCGCAAGTGCTGAATAAAGTAGAAAAATCACTTCCTGTAACTTACATATAAAACTCCTGTTAATATATCTCAGTATGAGATATATGAGTTAATATATCTCAGTATCCACTTTTTTTTGCAGCTGTATCACACAGTTAACTCGCATTCAGTCTGTGGATCACTATAACCCCTACTTCATTTCTTGAAGAATTACAGTCTCACCATTCTGTATTTGTGCATTTGATTGTTCTGTCCTGAGTGAAATACCTTATATCTATTATTAAATTTAGTCAAATATATTTCAGAACATTTTCCCACTTCATTGAGGTCATTCTGAATCTTAATCCTGTCCTCCTGGTAGTTATGACACCCAGCATGGTGTCATCTGCAAATATATACTAAATATACACTCAATTCCAAACTACAAGTCATTCATGAAGCTATTGACAAGTATCAGACCCAGGACAGATCCTTGGGAGCCTTACTTGATATCTTCTTTCAGTTAGACTTTGAGCCATTAATGAGCCACTCTTCTTTAAGCAGGATGATCCAACCAATTATGCACCTACTTTATACCAGTTTCAAGTGGGCCGTATATCCTTAGCTTCCTTATGAGAGAGTCGTGATCCACAAAGCCTGTCACTTTGTCATAGAAAGAAATCAGGTTGGCTAAGCTTTTGACAGTAAAAATGCCCTGAATTAGGACTGCTCACATAGATGTTTTCCAGGATGGGGATCTATGAGTCCATATGTACTCAGTGCACACAAAGATATTTTTTGTGGCGTTTTATTCCTTTTATTTCTGTCTTTCAGGATTTTTTACAGACTGTGGCAGTAAATTCAGGATACGAGATGGACATTCTCAAAACAGTGGGCAACTTCAAAATCTGGAATACATATGATACTCTACTTTGTGAGGTATTAAAAAGAGAGAGCCAGAAAACAAATAATGCCTAAGACTTTATCCAACCAAACAAAGCCATTTAGTTTCAATAGAATAGATTATCCGCTGTTTTGCCCTGAATTTGCTTTCTTTATGGCAGAGTTTAACAATAAAGCACAGTTTAGTGCATTGAAAAGGATTTGCTCAAAGTATAATTCACAGTTTATAAAATACTCTATTTCTTCCCATTGTTTATCATCTCAAAGCTGGGAACAGAAATACACTGTTATGCTATTTTCTCTTTTTTACCTCCCACTGTGATATGTGGTTGTTCAAGGGTTCTGAATAGCTCAAATCGATTTTCTTATAGAAAAGTAAAGAATTCACTTTAAAACAACGAGTAAGTGTAGTAAATGCTTAGTTGGATGATTTTAAAATAGGAGGCAGCAGCAGGATCTAGCGGTTAGAACAGGGAAGTGGAAGTCAGGATGATAAGATTATATCCTGAAGACCAAGTGTAAGAAAATAGCAAGAGGAATCTGGCCAAGAGAGCACATGCACGTGCCCTGCAGTCCTTTACATGGAGCATGTCTACATGAGACATTTACTATGCAATTAACTAATTAGCTATGTAGTAAACTTCTCAGTGTCTATTAGGCTCAAGTAGATTAATTTACTCCACAGTAAATACCACTTGTAAATATAAGTACTATCCTGCTATGGACTAAAACACTCTATAACAGCACATGTGTAGACATTGGAGGGGCCAGCTGGGGCACAAGGATACTTCATTGCGGGGGCTGCCTGCTGGTTAGCCCCGCACTGAAGCTACCTTGTGCCCTAGCCACAGCATGTTGAGCTGGGGGAGAAGCCTGGGCTGGCAGGCTGAAACCAAGGCTTCCTGCCAGCAGGGGCTGCTCCAACCCAGCTCCATGTGCTGTGCATGAATAAACTCCAAAGCTTATTGCACTGGAGTTAATTGCTCCTGGGCATGCATTCAAATGGCAATAAGCTCTGGAGTTTATTCAGGCACAGTAATATCATAGGTAGACACACCCACTGACTAGCAAAAACAGAGGAGGGGAGTCGATACAGCTATAAATAAACTGTATCTATTACAGTGGAGCTCCCTCCACTATGAGGAACCTTCTTAAAAGAAAAAGTGCTTTTTAGGGAAGATGCCATGAAATTATGTTGTACTGCTATGAAACTGGGGCAAGCATGGGGACTCCAAAGTCAATCATATAAGGTTGGACAGGAGGAAATGAATAGGAAAAAGAATAATTTTACTTTCCTTTTTTTTGCTGTAGAGAATTCACAATTATACTGTCCCTGAATGGGCCACCAAAGATTTCACAGACAAGATGGAGAGGCTGACAGAATTATCCTTATTGTCATTATTTGGAATATACAAAACAGAAGAGAAATCACGGCTTCAAGGAGGTAAATATAAAATGCACAACTCTCTGAAAGGAAGCACTGATGTTTGTGTGCCAAATACGTATATTTACGCATGTAAAACTACTGAAACAGCACCATGATTCGTATCTAAGTATGTTAGATGCCAGATGAAAATATGCATTTTTAAACATGGATTTTTGCATGACTGACAAGGTGGTGAAGTGTAGATATGCCTTTAGTTTTCCTAGTTTGTAAGATTTAGGGACTTCAATAAGAAAGTTATTCATATCATCATTTTCCCCCATATACTTTAAGGTGTCCTCGTGAATGATATTTTAAAAAACATTAAAAAAGCTGCTAATCCTTCCAACAAGAGAAAACTTAGGATCTATTCTGCAGTAAGTATCTTTGGGTTTGGTCTTTGTTTTTTTTTTTAATGTACAGTTGATGGGACTGTGATTGGGAATGTAGCAGAAGGGGCTTTGCATGGCTTGGCTTAGAAGCAATAACACCTTAATCACAAGTACTGGGAAAAACATATAAGCAATGTTAACAACTCTTTTGTTATGACATCTTTTCGATATTAAAAGAAAAAATCAGATCCCTTCTCCAAACTAAGACCAGGAATGACGTGATAAAATTGGATTTGTTATCTAACTGGATAAAATTTATGCAACATGATACAGGAAACATAGGATGCACTCCTCAATTCAAGTGAACTTGTGCTTATTATTGTACAGCAAGGGAGCTCATGGGTGGAGAGCCAAGAAGTGAGGCCCGCTGCTGCAGGCTGTGCAGGAGATGCCTGTGCATGCACAATGCAGGGGACGGGGAGAGTGTCTGTGGGCACATGGTGCCCAGGGGGAGCACCAGTGCACACATAGCATGTACCCTGGGGGCTCATGGGCCCTGTGGCATGCAGCTCCCCCCAGTGCGGCCTAGGGAACATACAGGCCCTGGCCACTTAGAAATGGGACAATCCTGATTTAACTTATAAAGTATTTAGGGTCATCTTTATGTGCTGTATAAGGATTAAAACACAACAGTTTGAATGTATTTATATCACATTCTGTGAGTATATTCACAGTGGTCACACCAGGAAAAGATTTTAATTTCTTCCCCTTCAGCTGTTTTCTACGGGTTTTCCTGACAAGGGGACAACTGGGAGAAATAAAAAAACAAAACAAAACAACAGGTCATGAGTACAATTTTACTCTCATACTTTTCACCAAAACTAGTAAGATTGGAGGAGAAAGGGACAGGGATAAAAACACTAAAAAGCAACTATTGTATTTCACAGGAACATGTTTTTCTTTTTTTATAGCATGACACTACAATCGGTGCCCTGCAGGTGGCACTCAATATTTTCAATGGAAAACTGCCTCCATACTCTGCCTGCCAGTTTTTTGAACTCTATCAAGAAAGTAGTGGGCAAGTATAGATCTGCAACGTGCAAATATATTTGCTTTGAAATGCCAATTTTCTGACCTCTTAGGAGTATTTTAGGGAGAGAAAAAAAATCTAATAGTATTTTACTGAACAGTTCATATGCACAATGCTACATAAAATGCATTAAGAACCAATGATCATTTCAAATCCCAGTCCGTGCACGGTGGGTGTGTACATATGAGAAAGGTTAATTTAAACAGGGAACTCCGGTTTATTAGTGAGAAATAAATAGATAGATTATTGTCCCTATTTCCTTAAAACGGTACGGATACCACTTGAAGGTACTTCATAAAGCTTCTCTCAATCAAGCAACATCCTTTTTTTAGAACATGATCATACTTCCATTTAGTACAGGACTTGCATCTTAAGAAGTTTGAGCTTTGAAGATACAGGTTTCCCTCACTTCCTGTTGTACATGCGTTCCTGGAAAATGGCGCATAACTCGAATTTGCATAAAGGGAACCCATTTTACAATGTAACTAATAGGCATATGTTCCAAGACCTCAACTGTACTGACCCTCAGACCTATTTCTATGACTTTTACAAGACAATTTTGGTACTCACCAACAGCAGACAGTACATACAAGCACATGGCGCTATCATAATGGGGATGGCAACTACAGAAACACGTGTCACAGACAACGAGCGAGGAGCACAGATCCACACAGGAAACTATATTTTGGTGCACTTCACTCTCACAATGCACCACACAAAGCAGCTGACTGCAGGCTTCCACCACACTGATTGCATAAGAGTGAATTTACCTTGCATATAATACACTTTTGGTATAAAAAGGGTCATCGCATAAGAGTGAATTTGCATATACAGAACCTACGTAAAGCGATGGAAACCTGTATATTTGCAAGGTTTTTATTCTCTAAGAAATTGTTTGAGAATCACTTTTGTTAAAGCCTGTAATTTGCAACGCCATGCGTGTTTGACCAGGAATTCTCAGATGTATGGATCTAACCTTCCTTTTTCTTTCATATGCTGTATATCAGGCAGTACAGCATTGAAATGTACTACCGAAATGACACATCAAAGGATCCTTATCTGATCACTCTGCCAGGCTGCACACCTGCTTGTCCCCTTGAGAAGTTTACTGAACTGGTTTCTCCTGTTCTAGTGGAAGACTGGTCCAAAGCATGTGGAAATAAAGACATAATGAGAGGTAATATAATAATGCCATGTATTTTCTGCTCGTGGCATCTAAGCAGTAATTGCAGGAATGGCTGCAGGATTAATAAGTTTGCAAAGTGATGCTTTAAAATAATAGCCTGTCCTTCTGTTAAAAAATATGGGCCAAATTCACCACTGATAGGAAGTGAGATATAAATTACATTTTCTTGTACCAGGGAATTCCTGTACATAGAAAGGGGACCTTCACCCTGAGGGCAGTGTGACTGTCAGTGTTCCTCTTCAGTATTGCAGTGGTGGAAAACCAGCTTTACTTCATGGTCAGGACTTTGTAAGTGTGTTACTGAGGCTTCTGAGGGGAAGAAAACTGAATAAAAGCATCATTCAGCACTTCTGGCCATGTCCCCTTCCAGCCCACAGCTTGGGTTTTCCTTTCCAGTGCTTTCCATTGTCACCATCCCACATGGTGTACAGCTCTGAAATCACAACACATTCTTATCTATGGAGTAAGAACCACTTATATGCCTCAAGCTGAGTATCTAAGTGATTCTAGGAATGGGGTATATGTATTTATATATGTATACCATGTATAGATGTAACCAGATACACAGAGGCATGTTCTAAAGAACAAGATTTGACTATAAAAATATTTTTATGATAAATATTTATAATTCAGGCTATGGTATGAAAAAAAAAAAAAATCAACATGCCACTCATTGATACATTTTCTTAACATGCATGGTTTTCTTTTTTCTCCTTTCTTCAAAGAAATATTCCTAGGATTGGATTTTGTCATTGCCGTGTTGTTCGTCTTTAACCTTGTGCTGTTATATCTCTTCTACCAGTTTGGAAGGTGCAGGCGTAGAAACACTTATGAAAACCTTTAAAAGGAAGTTAAAAAAAATGGGAGAAAGAAACTGGAAAACTTCTGGAGCAGACAGATGTCTTTTATTGTTTTTAAACTGCTCTCAAAGAAATGTTCTACATCCTGCAATTGTGTTTGGTCAAATCAAGCATAAGAAGTAAAACTGAGTAACAAAAGCTTGTGAAACAATATTTGTAAAACACCGCATCTTCTGTAAGGAGCATCACTGAAATGAACCCATGTTCAGAGCTTACCTTTATATTATGAATGAGTTAACTACAGATAAAGATTTGTATAATGATTTTTATATTAATTATTGATGCTTCCAGTGGAGAAAGAGAGAATGACTGATTTTTCCCCCTACTTGTATGTTTGGGTATGGATTATCATTGGTTTCACTTTTGTCACAATAATTTTGGTTGCAAATCAGTCTGTATTATTTTCCTTACTAATTATACAAGTTTATGTTTTTGAAATTTTCAGCAGGTAAAAGCATGAACATGCTGGTACTGGTTGATACCATTATTTGCACACACAGTTACCATATTATCTGCCAAACAATAGTCAGTTTGCTTTGCAAAGATGTTATGCGTCTGTAACTCTCTTTCAAATCTGTTGAAACTCTGGGTGTTAACTATCATATCTGCAAATCAGGCCAGAAGCCTAGTACCATGGGATTCTGGTTGACGCCTATACTCCTTACATACTATGGTAGTACAAATAAATTAAAATAATATGTCCATTTTCCATCATTCACACTGCTCTCACATCACTCTGTCCGTCTTGAAGTTTCTAATCACGATTCTCAGTATTATTTCTCCATCCCTCACCTCTGGATTTACCTTGACAACTTTTAATATTAAACTCATCAGGATGTATGTTACAAATAACTCATAGTCCTGTCCAAAAACTAAATTATGAACTGCTCTGATTTTTTTCTATGCTGCATCTCTTTCATGGACCATGTTATATCAGTTCAGACTGTAAGCTCTACAGAGCAGGGTTCTTGTTTCAATATATATGTATCAAATGTCACATGCACTAAGTCTCAGGTATACCCAAGCCTAATGGCTCACTGAGCCTGTGGTTAAGGAATGCCAGTTTCTATAAGTAAGGGACTGATGTGGCTAGCCTCCCATCCAGCCTTCTTTGCATAAGCTGTTTATAGCTGGCCAACTTTTGGCTCAAGTTTGCAGCAGGGGTCAAACATGCCACTGAAGCTTTAGCAAGGTGCCTTAACTGCTTGGTAGCAAACATGCTGCTGGTGCTTCATAAATTATTACTACTAATAAGCATATACTGATGGAATAGATTATTATTGTCAAAAACAAGAATAATTTTAAGGATTTTTATGTTATGGTGATACAAAGTATGGGGTTGGCCACACTGCACTGTACACATTAGAAATGTAATGTAGAAGGGCCCTGTTACACCTTATACTGTAAGCCACACAGGAGTTAGTGCTCGCTCGAGTTTGGAGCAATCACACTTCAGACCAGCAGGGGCCTTAAGGACTGAAAGGTAAGAATCCCATCCTCCCCTTTCCCCCTTCCACAAGTAAGCAAGTGGGGGGATAATAAGCAGTGATCTGGGCTACTGAGGCAGAGGGCTCAGTCCAAGCCAGTGGGCGACAGGGTGTGGGTGCAGTGTTTACACTAAGGTGTAGCCTAGAGTGGGTACACCTTAATGTAACATGAGCTAGGTAACATGGATCAGAGATAATCCTGCCCTGGAATGGTGTAACTTTAAGCCATTTAACAAGTGCTTAAAAGTAGTTTCAGGTGTTAATATGTGGACAGTCCAGGTGCTAAGAGCTCCAGGAGCCACCCAAATTACTGTGTAACAAGCCTCTTAGACATATGGACACTAAAGGCAGGAACAGAAAGTATGATATTAAAGACTGCAAACGTGAAGCTTCCCAAGTGCCCTTTTTCCTGCAGTAACTTGAGCAGCTCAAGTGACCAACTTCTGAAGTACTGTTTCCTGCTCGGTCAGATTTCACAAATAACCCTGACATTAAAACTGCCCTATTTGTGTTGGGGAAGTGTCATGATCAAATGATGGGTTTAGTTCCTAGGTGATGTTTGATGTACAATGTATTTGTGCAATGCTACTGAAAAAAATAAATGGTATCTTTAAACAATGTTTTAAAGAAACTAGCTTCATTATAACAGATATTTCTGATACTGGGAACCTGTATGCAATGATAGAGTTGAGATATGTCCAGACTGAAGTCAAAGCTATAGCTACAGCATGTGTAGGTACACCTGGGCTAGTTTTAAACTCTCTAGCTTGGTGCTGCTAACACTGCAACTGTGCCAGCACAGAGTTCAGTGAAAGAAAGACTCACCCAGTAACTTCAATAAATACTCAAGCAATTAGCTTAAACTGAACCTTGTGGCCAGGGACAGATGTTACACATAAACTGGTTTAAGTGATCAGAAACTGGTTTAAACCTGTAACAGAACAGATGTTCAGTGCACATAAACCAGTTTGAAAGTGGCTGAAACTGCTTTGAGATAAACATAGTTGAATGTCATATCAGACTCACCTGATTTGGGTCAAACTGGTTTATGAAATTTCTGTCCCAGACCCCTTTCTGGTTTAAGTTAAACCAGACTCCTCCATCATCCCAGCATGCTCTCTGAGCTGGGCAGGGCTCTCTGCTCCACAGCAGAGCTGGCCTCTCCCTTCTGCTCCCTGGCTGGAGCTTGGCAGGAACTGTAGGCATCTGCCTGGCTTATCCCTGCTCCCCCCCACTCTCCCTCTCCCTTACACAGAGGCACAGCATTAGTTAGCATGCCACATGCTGGCTATGGTCCATGCTGTGGCAGACAGGACAAAGGCAGAATCAACAGGTAGCTGGTAATGTCCCTCTGTTGTTTTCTTAATGGTGTGATAAACACCGAGTTGGGGTGATAAACACCGTGTTATCAATTCCCTGCTCGGCTGGTCAGAAAGGAAGGTTGAGAACCCATAATGCAAGGGTTCTCAACCGGGGGTACACGGTCTCCAGTTTCAAGGGGTCTGCCTGGCCTGGCTGAGCATGGGGAAAAACTGCTTTGGCCCACCAGGGCTGAGGTGAGTGCCAACAAAGGGACAGGGGCAGGCCGCCCCAGTTATCCCCACAGCCTCTTTCTTGAGGGTGGCATTGTGGGTGGGCAGCTGCTGCTCAGGTGAGTGGGTAGAGCAGAGCTGGGGAGGTCCTCTCCCACGCAAAGGTTGAAAATCCCTGTCATAGTGCATTTCATGTCACATATTAGATCCAAAAGGCAAAGGCAAGTCATGCAGAATTTGTTTGATTAGCTGTTGTGTACAACTGACCAGTCATTAGATTCCTAGATAGTGTATCATGCATTGTTATGGGATGGTATCCCTAGATGGTCTGCTACCTGTTATTTTTCAAAAAATACTTTCTAAGCAATCAACTGATTAGTGTACAAATTCAATCTCAACTGCATATTCATTTCATTTCTAAAGGGAAAACATTTCTCACCTTACTTTGCATAAAGCACTGTAGCAAACATTCATTATTTATGAGAAACAAAATTATCAGTTCAGGCATTAGAATTATCATTCAGGCAAATCTGTTAGATTTGTTCGGTGCTATTTTATGTTTGTGAAGGTTCTCAGAGTGAAAAAGCCAAATAAAGTTTTCCCAATTTTGACATTACTGCTTGAAATTCAGTACAATGTCCTTCTCCCTGGGCCCACATGCCCTCATTCCTGGCCCTACATAACTTTTTTTTTTTTTTTTTTGCACTGTCCAGGGGCCAGATTGAAGGAGAGGAAGGGGTCTGGATAAAGATTAATTTGTGCCCTGTTGCCCAAGAATTTGCTAGGAAGCTGGAGATGCTGGAGGTGCTAGTTCAAACTTCCTGTCTCTGATCAGGGCCA